CAGCAGGAACCAATATTAGCCCTTCTAGTCCCTCTCACTCTTGTTGTCAAACAACTAGGGAACCCTATCCTGTTTGGTTATTAGAATGAGGAAGGCTGCTGCTTCCTTCACCTGCAGCAGAAAAAGAAACAAGCCACCTCACTATGGCTTCCTCAAACCATGCCCTGGCTGGGATGCCTAAAAACAACTTGACAGCACCCCGGCAGCTGAGATCCCTGCCTGTCATAGTTGAGGCTCTCTCTCTGTCTGGATCCACCTCTTCTCGGGTGTAGATTCTTGCAGCAGGGTCTGTCTCCTTGATCCACTTTTGTACTGTGTTGGAACTGTGTTGCAAGGCAAGGCAGATCATCTGAATACCCTGGGAAATTCCAAAACCAGAAACAATTGAACAATTTCTTAAAGAGAGAGCACCATTCAGGTTGCCATGTTTGACAGGGGTGTTCAAGTTCATGTAACCCAAGCACAGGAATCCTGTCTGCAACTGCTAATGATCAGAGGCATGGGATTGGCAGTGGCAGAGTCTCCTAGGTATCCAGGAAAACATCTGTTCAGGGAAACATTCATCCCAGCCCTATTTGCATACCGCAGCCACAAACCCTATAAAGCACCTACCATGTGGCACAGAAGTGAGAGAGCAAGAGAGATGAGGGTGCTGCCATCCGGCTGTCAGTGCAGGGGCTTGCACAGAATTTACAGCATGTGTCTCTCTATTTCTTTTACAGTGAAAAGGTGGAGAGAAAGCAAAGGGTTAAGTTGGCATCTGCCTGAAACCCATCCCACTGGGGCAGTCTCTCTAGTCCAGTGAGATAATGGAGATGTTCACATACTCTCTCCTTCTGCCTCCTTATCTAACTCTGCTGCAGGGCTTTCTTTTCCCTGCCTTTCCCTTGACTGCTGCTCACAGGGAGACCGGTTTGGGAGCTGAAGTGGGGGGTACTGAGAGAGCTGAAAAATGAACCATCAGGTGGTAGAAGTTCCTGAAAAGGAAGGAGGATTCTGCTTGGAGTGGATAGGATTTTAGCACCTCAAGCTAAGCCAAAAAACCTTTGCTGTCCAGATCTGCAGGGGAACAAGGAGCAGCAGGGTCCTTGCAAATGCTTCCAGAGCTGGTCAAGGCAAAAAGGACAAAGAGACCAAATGGAGAGGTGTGTGCCTGGCAGGGGTGGGGCAGCCCCCTGTGTTAGCTAAGTACAGCTGGAAATAGCATTAACCACACCGGAGCCCAGACAGCATCCTGCAGAACAGAGGGCTGTAGCAGCTGCAGCGCTTGGCCACTGCTTGGAAGGACACTCTTTGCTTTAGGCCTGGGGGGCCGAAGAGATCCTGGTGGGGAACTTGTTTCAGGACAAGATGTCCTTTCATGCTCCCTGCAGTTGGAGTACTCTCAGCGGCCTTGACTTCCACATACAGAGCAGTTTGGGCTGCGTGGACAGTTATTCCCAGAGACAGGGCTCATTTAATTTGTTTTCAAGTTTAGTTTTCCACCTCTGAATTTTCCCTGCTACGGCACCTTGGCTAGCTAGACTGTAGCCTCCCCGGGACATCATGGAGGATTTGGTCCGTGTGGGCAGCATCTTGGTTACTGTCCTCTACTGCTCAGTCTGCGCTCTGGTAAGTCAACTCTGCTAGACACTCTCTGTGTCCCTTACTCTTTGTCTCAACTCTCCTCTTTCTGCGGCTTTGAATGTTGCTAATTTCTCATATGAACCAAACACTTGCACCTGTGCTGCTGCAAAACCTTAATCACTCCCAATGTCCACTTGGGCTAGTGGATTCTGACTTAGTGAACAGAAGCCAAAGGGGCATGGGGATGCGATAGTCAGATGTCCAGGTTGGCAGTCTTGGGACTTATTTATGCTCAGAAGCTATTCTGATATAAGGCCAGGGGGTGGGGAGTGGAGTTAGAGCAGAACTACTACCCCAGAATGACACCCAAAATGGACATTCTTCCCCCAGAATGAATCGGGTATCAACAAGCCCTAAGGGAGCTACAGAATGTGGATCCCAGCAAATTTCAAAGCAAGTTGAGTGTCTAACTCCCTTAGACACCTTGGAATATCCTTGACATCAAATCCACATGGCAGGGTGTTTCCGTGCCAAAAATATCTAGGAATAAATTAAAACCTATAATTGTTAGTGATCACTATTCTTCCCCTCCCCACATCCCGCCCTGCCCCCAAGAACCTGATTATTACCTTTTTGGCCCCCTTCCAAGCCCCTTACTGATAGGGAATCTCCTTATTCAGAGAGCTCATCATCAGGCCTCACTGGCAGAGCAGTTGCTTGTACATAGCTACTTAGGCACAGAATATCAGTTCTGTTTGTTTTCAGCTTCTCCATTGCAGTCAGAAGTGCTAAGGATCCGAACGAGACTTTCCTGCTGTTACTTTTCCATGTATGCAGTTACTGCAGGTTTGGCAGAGCTATGGGATGATGAGTAAGAGTGAAAGAGTCGAGAGAGCTGTGTTAGTCAGGCAGAAGGCAGGGTATATATGCACCTAATTCATTAACTAAATAAGATGCATATAGAGTATAAGCTTTTGTGAACCTGAGCTCTACCATGGTGAGGAATGAGAAGGGGAACTGCCCATGAAATTAGTGCTCTATGGTGGGCTCCATGCCAGGGCAATATATGGGAGATGGCCTGAGGGAAAGAATCTGGTCTTTGAAAGGACTGAAGGTTTGACTTGGTTGTTCTGCTCACACCTCCTCCCTCCTGCCTTTAATTTATTCAGTATTTTTCGTATTCCTACAGGCCCCAGCCTGGATCAGGGTTCTGAGGCACTTGGCAGTACACGTACAGAATCATGGGAAACCGTGCCTGTCCTACAGAGACTGCATAGTATTATTATCCCTGTTTTTACAGAAGGGGAAAACTAAGGCACTGACTGATCAAATGACTTGACTGGGGATATACAGGCTGTCTATGGCAGAGCAGGGACTAAAACCCAGCTCTCACCTCTGAGTCTGGTGTCTCAATTACCGTTTCCCCTTTCTTTCACTGATGAAAGCTAATGAAATTGGACCTTAGTAAAAGACACGTGAAGTTAACAGTCAGTACAAAGGAGTATGTGCAAAGGGAGTGATGAGTCCTGCAGAGCTACCTGCCTGGCACTGCAAGGCCTGGAGCTGGTTGTGTGCAGATCTCCCGCTCCATCTGCTTCAGCCTGTAAGACTAGTCACATCCTTGTATATGTGACTTCACTGCATCGCTAGTCAGAGCTGAGCACTGGTGGTGGAAAGTCCAGTGTGCAGGGTGTGAGTGGAGGAGATGGAAACAGGAGGTGTCTTATTCTGCCGCTAAAAGCTTTTTCTCAAGCGTGGCAGCCCGGTGATATCATAACATGAAGAATCTTTCCATTTCTGTTCACACGGGGAGCTGAGCACTCACTTCCTGGAAGGCACACCGGGAACAGAGAAGCCTAGAGCATTTACAGTTAAGTGAATTTTGAGGTTTCTGAGTCAGAAGGGCTGATAGCTTTGACTTGACCCATTCAGAGATCAGTTTGGGTTCTGCTACTGGTGTCGCTGACAGCTCCAGCTGTGGGGTCCCATACTCCACAGACTTGTCAATGCTAATACAATTCTCTAGAGCACTTGGCTTCTGCCTGACACCCCATGCCTTGCTACTCCAGTCTTAGGTCTTTGTTAACCAGAGCTTCCCAATCATGCCAGAACCGTTCTTTTGTGATGGATTGGGGGAGGGGGTTGGCAGGTATTTCAGGGGCTAAAGGAAGGTTTTAATAAAGCCATCCAGGGCTGGGAAGAGCCTTGTACTCCCTCATTTTCATTGTACTGCTTGTTTCTAGAAAGAGGCTGCAACTAAACCCTCAAGTGCAAACACTTACAGTTAGTGTGTACTTCTGTGACTGGCTGAACCAAACACATGGATCTAGACCCTGTCCTGTCAGATGCAATGCCCCTCCCTACTAGACCCTTTCAGAGACCTTTTCACCCCTGCTGAAGCCAAGAAAACTCCTCTGGGCCAATCCCTACCTAGTGCTCTAGGATTTGTTTTTGTTCTACTATTATATGGGGAAGCTCTTATTTCCCACCTTCTGTGATATCAGACCAGCTTCACATCATGGGGTGCAGTTGGACCAGGGCTCTCTCAACTAAACTACCAAACCATCTAGACCAGGCACAGTCCATGAAGATAGGTGAGGGGGTGGGGAGGGGGAGGAAGGGAGTCCCCTTCTATTTACACGTCTTTCATTTTCAATTCCATTGCTTCATTTAGATGCAAATGGCTTTCAGATCCAGAGCTACAGGGCACTTGAGTCTGAGGCTGTAACAGGAGAGGTCCAGCTGTACCTTGAAATGACTGTGGCTTTACCCTAAAACGTTTCTAGCTGACAAGGGCAGAAGAAGGTGCAGACTAGGGTTTGCTGCCCTTGCAATGTGCAGGCCACTTGACAGATGCTAGATCTCTTTATGGGTGGGAACTCACACCTTCTTGTGACCAAAGGATTGATTTTCATCCAGGCCAGATGACAACATTGTGTGTCAGAGCTTGCTTACAGCGTCATTCATCCTATGGTGCTTAGCGCACTACACAGAGGGGCTCATTCATTTACAACACAATGCAACCACCTCTGAGGTAGAATGTGGCAGGAGTTCAAGTGTTCACATCCACCACCCACAGCAGTTTGGGAGAGGAGGTGAAATAAATTCTTATATCCCATGGAAATTCAAGAGAGAATTTAAGGAGGTAGACTGGAATCTACCTATCCTGGCTTAGATTTTGGCCAGGACATGGGCTGACAAGTGAAGGGACCCTGGGATTTTCAGTAGCTACATGTGGTTAGGACTCCAGCTTGCTGCTCCATTCAAGAGAGGCTTTCAGTAGCTTAACATCCCTAATACACTCCCATGGCTTTGGCCCAGAGAACACTCTACTAAGTGCTCCTGAGAGCTGACAGAGCACAGCACAGGGCCATTCTTCTTCATGTGCTAAGTACAGAGAGTCAAAAAGCCCAAAGCTGAATCAATTCAGTCTTTGCAGTTTAGTCTAAGCTACACAGATTAAACTGAAACAGAAGTGAACAGACATTTACCTTTGATACAGAAAACGCAGCCACATGCCTGCCATAACTCAGGCCAGAAGCTGGGAGGCACTGGAGCAGGCTGTCTGGTTGTGTGTTTATTTCCTTTTCCTGCTGCCTCAGAGGTCTCTGGGATTTGCAGTCCAGAATCAAAGTTGCAGGACTCTGCAGGATTGCTCATTACTTCCTCTTCCAGTTTCCAAGTGTCTCTGGGATTTGTAGTCCAGTTGCAGCCTGCAATAAGTTTGAACAGGGGGAAGGGGTGTTTAAGCCCCCTCCCTGGTCCCAGACCACAGCTGGGGTTTGCCTGCTGGGGTGCAGTCCCTGCCCAGCAGACTAGGTTGCATCTCCAGCTGGGCTTGCCCCCCCACCACATTTTGTCAGTCAGCCCTCACTGCTCCAGCTAGGGAGCAAAGGGGTGGGGCTAGCCCTGCTCTCTGGAGCAGATGCACAGCCCCGCACAGCCCAGGGCTGTAAAGCATGCTGGGATACTGGAGGACTCTGATTTAATTTGAACCAGGAAGGGATCTGGGACAGAAGTTTCATAAACCAGTTTGACCTAACTTCGTTAAGTCTGATACTACGTTCAACCAGGTTTATCCTAAACCAGTTTCAGCCGTTTTGAAACTGGTTTATGTGCACTGACCCTCTGTTCTGTTACAGGTTTAAACCAGTTTCTGATCACTTAAACCAGTTTATGTGTAACTTCTGTCCCGAGCCCATAAGATCCATTGCCTTGGCAAAACACCCCCAGCCGGGTTGTGGGCCCCGATGCCCAAACAATTGAAATGAGATGCTCCTAAATATGCAACACAAATGCAGATTGAGCAGCACTTCTGCCTTGTCCCCTTTTGCTAAAGATAAGCAAGCTGCTTCCACACCTGGGGCTGCCCCAGAGAGCAGGTGGCTGTGTACTAAGCTGGGGGACAGTGTTTGGTGACAGCCACTTGTGTTCTCCCTCAGCTTGCTTCTTTTCATCCACCTGAGAAGACTTCATGCTGCTGGACGGAGAGGTCCCAGGCCTCATCTCCTCTCAATTCCTGCAGAACAGGTGCTGCTTAGACAGTTGTGGTGCAGGCTCCCCCACCCCGCCTCAGAAGGAACCTGCCAAGAGTGAGTGGGACCTCAGCCCATTCAGTCCTTGGTGAGAAGCCAAGGGCTGGGCAGGAGGGGCACTGAGTGTCTATTAAGGACCAGTCACTTCTCTTCTAAGCCTCAATCAGCCCTGGGGTTCTCCCAGTGATCAGGACAGCCTGTGAGCTGATAATTCATAGCACTCTCTATAAAAGACCCCCCTGGGAATTGTTTCACATCTGCAGTGTCATTGCCAAGATTGGTGCTGTGACTGGATCAACTTTAAAAACAATTCTGCTATGTCTGTAACAGCCCAAAGAGACTCCAACCACGACCAGTTGCTGCACAAACCCATCAAGACACCAGGTTGTGCTCCAAAGAGTGTGCGGTCTAAGTAGGCCCAGGGTAGGCAGAGGACTAGAAGTGAACTGACTTGCTTTAGCAATGAATTCAACTGTGCTAAGAGATTTTTAGTGAAAGTACACCAGTGTG